GCTACAAGCATGGGGGATGGACACAATTTTCTGGTGTTAGATGATCAGCTTTCGAAGCAGCCCGATATGATCTCAAACACATAATAACTTTTCCTTTGTCTCATATTCATCAACCTTCTCCAACTCCTGTATGAGGCCCCTTATGTATAGCTTTTGGAAACCAGGCTTTCCGACCGGTCAACAAGTCTTCAGCAGAATCGCATTTTTTCTGTGATAGCCTAGCATAACCCAGATTCTGATATTGCATACACTATCTCCAATATACTTCGATTTTGCACCTCTCTCTATGCGATTTTCCTATTCTTCTCAATGACTGTGTGGTGGGAACTGTTGAGTATCGGCGGAAGAGTACAACAGAATCTGTCGCGCCCCGAGCACTACACGAAGGTCCACCCCGAGAGCCTACACATTCGTGTCAGCAATCACAACAAACTTCAATCGCGAAGCAGAAATCGGTCCACATGGTAGACTCTGCGAAAAGGTTTACCTCGGGGCTTATGGACCATATACTGGACGGTTGATCGACAAGAACCCCAATGTAACATAATCCGGCAGCTACACTTTGGGCTAATGCTGTGGATTTACCAACTGCTACAATCTCTGACAGTTCCACTAATTTGCTCCTGTGTATATACGTCTTCCAACTTTACAAAGTGGTCATCATCACACTTACATTCAAGCAACTATCAGTATCGATTTTAGCAATCAAATATTGAAAGTAGCATGTTCGAATATGTTTTCAGCACGTGACAGTTTTTGCTGTGTTGTACGTTTTCACGGACTCTTCTACATAGTGGCACTTTTGCCAAGGTATATGTTATCCGAATTCTCCCGTGATTTTGGTTGATTTTGCTGTTCTGCATGTGTTGCGTTGCAATAATGCTCCGGCATCTTTCAAGGTTTTCTTTTGTGTGAAGTTCCTTCACCTTTTCTTCAAACTAACAGTTGTAGCTATGTCGAAGAATGACAGTATCTCGGCGTTTCGGCTGATTGCTTTCTAGTAACGTACATGCCTTGAGAATATATATTCTTGCGTATTATATCTATTCTACAGCATCCTCATATCATATGAGTCATATGTACTTACGGGTTTGCCGTCAGAAACTATACTTGGTATAGTTTTTGTGTGGTATAGTTTACCACACGGTATTCTATTTGGCTGATACAGCCGCTATTCCCGCGTATACGAGCAGTTTATAGACGATCACAAACATCAATTTGATGCTCAGGTTTATATAGGTGCATCAAGTTAGCGAGTAAGGAAGTCAGCTCAGCGACGCGGTCCGGATAAGGATTCCAATTTCGCAATTAAGGACGACAATTTCATCGTTGAGAGAATCAGTTGCGCGGAGAGAACATGAATATCGGGGGATAATCTTACGATGACCATATTGTTTGCACCTCATGTCTGACAACGACACCGTGCATTGAGAGATATGCTGTGAATTTCACGCCGTGAAAGACTTTCACTATCCAATATTGACCACCGAACGTTACCTGGCAGGACCTGAAGCTGTATTGGCGACCTACTCTTGACCATCTACATATGCCGTCAGTTTGTGCATCCTTCGACCATTGCTTCAGAGTGATCATTCCCTCCCTCCCCTTCGGGGCCTCGACGATGGGAAGAAAGGCCAACCTATTGAATTTCCGTACTCTATAGAAGGTCGATACAATGCTACACGACCGACACAGAGCCGTGTAGATTCGGATCCCAGACGTTACAACCGGGAGCTGCTCGACTACTTTACAACGGAGCTCCTCGGCCATTTGAGTGAGAATGATCAATAACGCACCACGTTCTATAGGATATAGTATCTTGTGAAACGATTGGGCGCGATAGCTATCCTCTGCGCCCTAAATCAGCTGTAACCAACAGAGACGTGTCTCTCAGTTGCAGACGTATGTAGTCCTTCCGAGACATCGATGATTGACTTTTGAGCTGCACTCCTCTCACCATAGCCTTATTATACTCCTGGAAGATGACCATTCGTTCCTTCCCCATCGCCATCGTCACCCTCGCTTCTCTTCAGAAGATCAGAATCGTGATGAGCAACACCACTGAGTGCGACGCTGGATGTGCTGCTACCTATCCCGGGTCCTATTGTAAGTACTGGCAGACACCTAGCACGTGCTTTGGCTCAAATGAACCATGCTCCTGCGGAACGAGTGGAACGACTGAAGCTCCCCGTAACTGTGATGCTGGTTGTGCTTCGGATACCCCCGGCTCCTATTGCAAGTACTGGGCTAAACCCAGCCTCTGTCATTCATCCAATGCGCCATGCACATGCGAGGTTGATCCAGTTACCACTACTTCTGGTGAAACCACCGATGAGGTCACAGAGACTCCTGTGGTTCAAGAAAGCACTACAGACGTCATCGAGGAAACTAGTACGGCCGCTTCTATTGCTGTTGACACCACCGAAATAACCAGTACCGCCATTGTAACCGATGAAGTAGCCACCACTACTGCAGCTACCGCCACTGATGAGATCCCTGTTTCCACTACTGCTGAGGAGGCCACCGATGCCTCAGCGACCACGGATTCTCCAGTTACGGCTACCGCTGTCGCCACCACGGCCGAGGTCATCACCGAGGCCCCGGCTACCGCTGTCGCCACCACGGCCGAGGTCATCACCGAGGCCCCGGCTACCGCTGTCGC